GTCTAAAGTAGAGAAGTTAGAATAATTAACATCAAATTCAAACCTGGAGTAGAGAAGTTAGAGTAGTTAGTATTGAATTCAAGCATATAGTAGAGGATTTAGTGTAGATAGTACTGAATTAAAGCCTAGAGTAGATAAGTTAGTACTGAATTCAAGCCTAGAGAAGAGAAGTTATTACTGAATTCAATCCAAGAGTAGAGAAGTTAGTACTGAATTCAATCCAAGAGTAGAGAAGTTAGTATGAATTCAAGCCTAGAGAGAGAAGTTATTACTGAATTCAAGCCTAGAGTAGAGAAGTTAGTACTGAATTCAAGCCTAGAGTAGAGAAGTTAGTACTGAATTCAAGCCTAGAGAAGAGAAGTTATTACTGAATTCAATCCAAGAGTAGAGAAGTTAGTATTGAATTCAAACCTAGAGAAGAGACGTTTGAGCAGTTAGCCCTGAATTCAACTTTAAAGTAGACAAGTTAATAGTATTTAAACCACATTAGCTGTATCCTGTAATATCACATACCACCAGCCCTGATAGACTTATAATGATTTACGCTGGAATGGACAGTACCAACACACAAATAAGTTATGAGAGTTATAGTTTCAAAGCTAAAGAGTCATATTTGCTCTTTAATTATGTAAATGTATAAACGTTTATGTATAAGGCCATATTACTATATGAAAATTCTCTATTGCTTTAAAACTTAGGTACTACATATTTTTAAAGGTTATCTCGATATGGCGTTTACTCTTCTTACTTCTTCGCTGTTTCTTTGAAAACTTCAATGCTTATCGCCAAACGATTTAGAGGGAACTTAAAATAAATATTATTTTCAGTAGTTTGTATTTTGTCCTCTATAAAATATGTCTTAGTGAATTTAATTCCATAAACTGTGTGATAAAATATTATACTATTAACTGAAAACATTTTCAGAACAGTGTCCAAGCATTAATTTATATTATTATTAAATTAGCTTTGTCACTGAAACATAAACCACTAGATGGCGCTAAAACGAGTTTCTTACTCCGTTGTATCTCATTTTATATTTATCTTTACAGAATCCACTTTCCTTTAGCAACTTATGCTCCAGTAATCTCAGCTGAAAAGGCCTACCACGAACAACTCACAGTGGGAGAAATTACTAATTCTTGTTTTGAACCGTCCAATCAGATGGTCAAATGCGATCCACGTCATGGAAAGTACATGGCAGTATGCCTACTATATAGAGGTGATGTGGTACCCAAAGATGTGAATGCCGCCATCGCGAACATCAAAACCAAGAGAACCATACAGTTTGTGGACTGGTGCCCGACAGGGTTTAAGGTTCACTTCATTTTTACTTTTTTACATTTTCAAAGTTATCTTGGGGGCAAACTATTGAAATAAACTTTTTTTTATATATTACTTAAAAATTCCTACAGCCCATATTAATACAGCTAAGATCGAACGTTGTTGTTTACTTAGTACAAAGCAACACAACGGGGTATCTGAACTTTGTCCGACGCGGAGAATCGAGCCTTAAATTTTAGCGTTGTAAGTTCATAAACTTACCCACCAAGATTTAACTTTCTCTGAATCATTCCATCTGTTCTTATTAACAATTATAATTGGAATCACATTAAGTTTTATGTAGAATATAATTATTCTCAACTTTTGAAATCAAACAAACTGTTATTTAAAAATGTATTTGCTTTAGAAATGATTATTTTTCTTTGTTTTTTTGGTAGAAGATAAGCACAAACCTACACAATGGGCTATCTGTGCTCTGCCCACCTCGGGTATCGAAACCCGGTTTCCAGCGTTGTAAGTCCGCAGACATATCGCTGTGCTACTGGGGGCTATTTTTCTTTGAACGAAATCGTCATGTACTGTTTGATTCTGAGGCTGTTCTCCAAATTTAGGATTGTGCTGAAAAAGACTCACATAACTTCAAACATTTACGTTTAGTACAACAGGTTGTTCAGTGTTTATATCCCAAAGTTGAAAATCTAACTCCAATTTTCGCAGCAAAATAAACACATCGAAACAGTCAAATTATTATTATTTATATATATATATATATATATAAGCAGCCCACTAACGGTACAACGCTAAGTCTGTCGGCTTATAACGCTGAAAATCGGGCTTCGATACCCGTGGTGGGCAGAGTATATATATATATATATAGTCCATTGTGTAGTCTTTGTGTTTAACAACAAACAAACACAAGCAGAATTGTTTTGTGAAAAAAAAGTGCGTTTTTCAATTTGTTATGCTGTTTAAAAGAAAACAAATAAATAAAATAAAGATAAAACGCAATTATAAAATTTAGGTCTGTTATGATAGTATCGCTGAATAGTTAGTTTTAAATTTTGTTTATTCTAATATAGGTAGGTATCAACTATCAGCCTCCTACGGTTGTACCTGGAGGAGATCTGGCCAAGGTGCAACGTGCTGTGTGCATGTTATCTAACACTACAGCCATAGCCGAGGCCTGGGCCAGACTTGACCATAAGTTTGATCTGATGTATGCCAAGAGAGCATTCGTCCACTGGTATGTCGGAGAAGGCATGGAAGAAGGAGAATTCTCTGAAGCACGTGAAGATTTGGCAGCGTTGGAAAAGGACTATGAAGAAGTAGGCGTGGACTCAGCTGAGGGCGAGGGCGACTATGACGAAGAGGAGTATTAGATTCACGTGCGAATAATTTTACTTGGTACACTTAACTGGATATGGACATCGATCTCCATTGTCATAACAAATGGTGGTCATCGTTCATCATCTGGTGTTATAATTTTTCTTTAAACATACAATAAAATGTTTCTTCTCTACAGCATTTTTTTTTTGTGACGACTTGGAAATTATTTGAATAATTTCGATTTCCTAAATTTCTTATTTAAGACAATATATACGACGTTTATATTTTTACATCCATTTGACGTTCAATTATTTTGTTCACGTGTGACAATGGCCACCAGATGTCGTGATGATAATGATGTGGTTGCAGAAATCGCAAAATTTCATTTTTCCGTTAATTGGAAAACAATGCTCAGAAAAATCTCTCAACTTTTAATATCTTTATCCAAAAAGGTACAGCTTTCTAAAAATATATATCGGTAGTTAGTACGCTCGAATAAAACACAGAAAAAACAACAACAAACTGTTATTGTTTTCGCTGTCAGCTTAAGTACATTTATTTGTCTGCAATAACTATTAACAATGAATGAAGAAGACCCGTATAGTGAAGAATAACAACCATTGTTGTGTTTTTAAACACCAAAAGGTTTTATGATAAAACGTAGCTCTTGTTTCTCTATCGGTGTTAACAAGTTTGCGGTGATTATGGCTGTTACAGATTGTTCGTTTATGTCACGTATATTAACCTATGCAAAAAATATATATTGCACGTAAAGGAATTTAGAATAATACAACATTATGAATCATTATTCTTCAATTTTATTATTACTTAGACCTGCCCACTGTTCTGAAATATATAAATATGAAAGAATACGAAGTATATGCTTTAGTAGAAGTGATATTGTAAGAGAAATAAAGATTGTGTTGAAACTTTTGTATGTATTTTTTTCTATAAAATATCCATAGTGTGTTAGACATGTGATCAGTTGCTATAAGACAGTTTAACATAATTACTGTTGTTGTTCGTTTTCAGCGCAGAGCTACACAAAGTTAAGTTGACCAGAAGGAATCGAACCCTGGATTTTAGCGAGTTAAATTCGCTGACCACCTGGGGACCATTTAATATAAGAAAATATTAGTTACTATGGTAGATGCGTGACTTTACATCAGTATCAAAAACGGTTAAGCAGCACAACATACATTTGTTAGTATTTTGTAACATTAATCTACTTCAGTATGTTTTAACTTTCAGAACATTATGTAATATATAAATATATGAAAAACTTACTTTAATAACGGGGTCTCTTAGGAGTGCTATGACATACTCTATTGTTACGTCTCTGTGTTCGTTTGTTAATTTTCCGTAGAAATTCTTTCCGAAGAACTTCAGCGATACAAGTCAGTTCTTAAATAAAAATAGTTTATTCTTTCTCAATACAACTTTGCAATACACTTAAACACACGCTATAATTCTCAACGAGCGAGTCACGCACTTACTTACTACCGCGCTTGACTCAATTGTCCGTCTCTGTCTGTCTGCAATTTTATGCCCCATTCATTATCTGGCGCACTTATATACAAGAATAGAGGGCGCCTACAAAATACTGGATTATTCGTGATGTTCCCGATCTTTCTATAACTCATTACGTGTTACCAGCGTCACATGACTTCCGCTGTCGTAACAATATAAAATTTAACTGCTGTGAATTACGTTGATTTGTAGTGACTAAGAAAATTATCCTAAAGTGTGACATCACACATCATGATGTTTTATTTATAAAAAAAACAACAACTTAAAACTCTTTCTTTCTAGCAGACGAATAGGATGTTAAATTATATGAATTTAAATGTGATGATAAATCTACCAAACACTTTTTGTTATTTAATTATTATTATTTTTTTTTTGGAATAAACAAGCCAACAGACCTCTAATGGTAAAGATTGTAACTGTCGTGATTTTTATTCTACAAATGTTATTTATGTAATATAGCAATAACTAAGGTTGGTTAAAGACGAACAACAACGACAAAAAATATATCAATTTTGCATTAATTAAAAGAGCGTGAGTTTTTTAGTTTTACATCTCGTGTTTTTAATATATATATTTTCTCCGATCTCATAAAACACTTTACAAAGTTACACTTATATACGAAATATAAGTTAACACTAAACGAAGACGAGATGTAATTTACAAAATAACGTGCAATAACTGCCCAGAATTCTACATAGGAGAAACAGGAATAAACTT